GCCGCCATCGCTTCTGCTTCCAGCACGGAAGGTGTGATTTCTCTCTGCGGCTTTTCTCAATTGTCCCTTAGGAATGTGCCATCTCTGGCATGGCACGCCACACGCCTCCCAACGACCGCAGTCTGGTAATGCTCCCAATGATCGCAGTCTGATAATGCTCCCCAGTTCCGTTTTTGGCCTCATGCGCATGGCCCTCTCCCTGCCACGTGTTGTGTGCGACTGCTCGTGCATGCGGCAGCGTGGGCAACTTCTTCTTCTCAGGGGCGCGCTCCTTCTTCCGCTCGCTGGACGCGGCCATCTTCCTCTTCTCACGCGTCTCCAACATCCCCCAGCGCAGCCTCGTGCTGCCGTGCGTCTGCACCAACGACCGCTTCACGCTCGGCGCCGAGCTATTTGTGCGCAACACCCCTTGCCGCACCCCTTGCTGCACCCCTTGCCAACACCCCTTGCCAACACCCCTTGCTAATAACACCCATTGCCAACACCCCTTGCTAATAACACTCCTTGCCAACACCCGTTTCCAACACCCCTTTCCAACACCCTTGCCAACACCCCTTGCCACACCTCTCCTGTCCATTGCACATACCACTCCCTCTGTATCTTGTTATGTAATGCCTATCAATTCACCGTGTCTCGCTCTCTCCACCTACCAGCATCACATGACAGTCCCCGTGACACCCATTCCTCCCTCCACCCTGCGGTTGAACTGTCTCAGCATGGCTCACATCCCATTTATCCACCCCTGTGCCGCCGCCCCTCCATGGTGGCCCACCCGCCCTCCCCCGCTACATGTGTTGGGCGCGGCGTGGGCGGGCGGCAGGACGGAAGCATCATCCGCGGGCAGAATGACATCTCGCACCCCGCTGTCAGCGACAGCCCGCGCCACCTGCCCCTCTCCGTCGACAAGGTCACACTGCTCCCTGCGCCACCCATGCCTCCGCTGCATGTTTCCGCAACTGCTCTGACACCCACTTTCTCCACTGACTTGTGCGCCTGGCGCCTGTCTTTCTCGCATATCCCCTTCCCTCTCTCCCCTTCCCTGCCTTGCGCCCACAGACTTGTGATGCCTCTCGTGCGCTGCCTGCGCCCATCCGCCGTGTGTTCTACATGTCCAGTGAAGGCACCAACCTGCTGCACGAGGTGTGTGCCACGCAGCCATGGGCCCACTGTGTGCCACCTCTTGCACATGGTGTGGGAGGCTGGCAAGCATGGTTCATGCTATATTTTCAACGTGGCATGTGTAGAACCGACATGCCTTAGCCACCACCTTCTGTCAGCAGGGGCAGGTGTGGGGCACACGCATTCATGGCGCGCATTCATGACGCGCATTCAAGACGCGCATTCATGGCGCGCATTCATGACGCGCATTCATGACGCGCATTCATGACGCGCATTCATGACGCGCATTCACGGCGCGCATTCATGACGCGCATTCACGGCGCGCATTCATGACGCGCATTCATGGCGCGCATTCGTGACGCGCATTCATGACGCTCTGGTCCATGTGGGGGCGTGGCGTGGCAGGTGTTTCCCTGTGTGAACCGGCGCGTGCTGGACCAGGTGGAGGCGGTGGACGCCATCATCTACGGCATCGGCTCTCTCTTCACCTCCATCTGCCCCTCGCTGGTACCTCCATTTGCCCCTCGCTGGTACCTACGCCCCTTTTGTCTTACCTTGTTAATCTCACTCCTCGTTAGGGAGCATGCCTCTCACTCCTCGCTCCCCCCAAGGTCTCTCACCATCACTGCGTTGTGCGAAATCTCTTGTTTCATGTCTCCCCTTCTCGTTCTCCTCCCCGAACCATAGATATTGCGTGGAGTGGGGAAGCAATCTCAGCCCGGGCATGTCCCAAGGTATGTGCATGTCCCAAGGTATGTGCATGTCCCAAGATATGTGCATGCCCCAAGGTATGTGCATGTCCCAAGGTATGTGCATGCCCCAAGGTATGTGCATGCCCCAAGGTATGTGCATGCCCCAAGGTATGTGCATGTCCCAAGGTATGTGCATGTCCCAAGGTATGTGCATGTCCCAATGTATGTGCATGTCCCAAGCTATGTGCATGTCCCAAGGTATGTGCATGTCCCAAGGTATGTGCATGCCCCAAGGTATGTGCATGCCCCAAGGTATGTGCATGTCCCAAGGTATGTGCATGTCCCAATGTATGTGCATGTCCCAAGGTATGTGCATGTCCCAAGGTATGTGCATGTCCCAATGTATGTGCATGCCCCAAGGTATGTGCATGTCCCAACGTATGTGCATGTCCCGAGGTATGTGCATGCCCCAAGGTATGTGCATGCCCCAAGGTATGTGCATGTCCCAAGGTATGTGCATGTCCCAAGGTATGTGCATGTCCCAAGGTATGTGCATGTCCCAATGTATGTGCATGCCCCAAGGTATGTGCATGTCCCAAGGTATGTGCATGTCCCGAGGTATGTGCATGCCCCAAGGTATGTGCATGTCCCAGGGTATGTGCATGTGCATCAGAATGCCACATGCAGCAATGCTCTGGTAGAGGTATCACGCCCGTTCTACTCCTCCCGTTCTTCCCACACCAACGCTTCCCTTGGCCCTTTCTTCCTTGTGAGAGCACACGCAAGCAGCACGCAATTCCATCACATCTCACAGCGCGTGTGTGCTGCGTGTTCTGTCCCTGCGTGGCTGGCAGGTGCTGGTGCTCAACGGGTCGCTGGACCGCGAGACAGCGGGCATGGCGGCGTCGGACTTTGTGGTGGCCATCTCCAACTGCCTCAACCGCACCTTCGGAGACGACTCCCGCCACCGCCTCAAGCACTCGGTCAGATGCACTGCCTCAAGCACTCGGTCAGATGCACCGCCTCAAGCACTCGGTCAGATGCACCACCTCAAGCACTCGGTCAGATGCACCGCCTCAAGCACTCGGTCAGATGCACCGCCTCAAGCACTCGGTCAGATGCACCGCCTCAAGCACTCGGTCAGATGCACCGCCTCAAGCACTCGGTCAGATGCACCGCCTCAAGCACTCCGTCAGATGCACCGCCTCAAGCACTCGGTCAGATGCACCGCCTCAAGCACTCGGTCAGATGCACCACCTCAAGCACTCGGTCAGATGCACCGCCTCAAGCACTCGGTCAGATGCACCGCCTCAAGCACTCGGTCAGATGCACCGCCTCAAGCACTTGGTCAGATGCACCACCTCAAGCACTCGGTCAGATGCACCGCCTCAAGCACTCCGTCAGATGCACCGCCTCAAGCACTCGGTCAGATGCACCGCCTCCAGCACTCGGTCAGATGCACCGCCTCAAGCACTCGGTCAGATGCACCGCCTCAAGCACTCGGTCAGATGCACCGCCTCAAGCACTCGGTCAGATGCACCGCCTCAAGCACTTGGTCAGATGCACCGCCTCAAGCACTTCGTCAGATGCACCGCCTCAAGCACTCGGTCAGATGCACCGCCTCAAGCACTCGGTCAGATGCACCGCCTCAAGCACTCGGTCAGATGCACCGCCTCAAGCACTCCGTCAGATGCACCGCCTCAAGCACTCGGTCAGATGCACCGCCTCAAGCACTCCGTCAGATGCACCCTTGAACCTTGCTGCACCTGCCACCTCTCTCCCTTCATGCATGCTTTTTTAACTCTGACTCTCCCACATCCGCTGCACTCTTCCTTCCCCTGTTATTGCCCGCCTCCTTTCCCTCCTCTGCAGTCCATGCGCTATGTGACGCATCTCATTGCACCCGAGGGAGGCGCCATTCCACTGGACCGTGAACGCCTAACATACTTGGGAGTCACCTCCGTTGTGAGTACTGCCGTGCGGCTGCTTGCCCGAGGCAGCAAGCTTGGGTGAATGTGTGTGAAGAGGAGGCGCCTGGACTGCCTTTCATGATATGCTGGTGCTGATGATTTGCTGCTCTTCATTCCAATCCCGCTCTGCTTCTGGTGTGTGTGTTTCTGCCTCCGCGCCAGACCATGGTTCCGTCCATTGCCTGTGGAAAGGCAGCCCTGGAGTACATTATGATGTGCGGGGCGCTTGTCGCAGCAATTGAAAAGACCTCCTTTGAAACACATGACTGAGCAAACTAGCCACGTAGGCCCAGTACCCAGATTTTCTGCAGCTGCCTCTACCCTTCATCCTTCCACATTCACGCCAACTTCTCCCACAAGTCCCTAGGGCATACTGTAATTGTCAACTAACAAAATATATTTTAGTTAGGGCATTTGTGTCTAGATCTCCTAGCTAGATCAGCTCTTATGGAGTAACAACATCTGGTACTTGTATCCAGGGGTCTCAGATATCAGACGAAAATCCGTCTGATGGTCTGAAAATCAGGACCCGTCTACTTCCATTCAATCTGATTTTTTTAACGGGTTGATTTCGTCCAGACCAGCCATCTGAATTCGTCTGAAAGTTCGGACTAGGGGTAGAGCTGTCAAACATGTGTATTTGTCATGTTTGTATAGACTGTATAGGGTCACCTCTTCGAGGATACAAAACTTAGATATATTTGTGTGTACTCTCACTTTACTATCATTCAATTCTAATTTCTGATATGGTATCACGCGTAGGTAGGAATCCCCCCCCACCTACCGCTTCCGCTCATCCCCCCCCCCTGGCCCTGTGGCGCCCTCCCAGGCCCCGTCGCGCCCCTCCCAGGCCCTCTAGCGGCCCCTCCTGGGCCCGTCGCGCTCCTCCCAGGCCCCGTAGCGCCCCGTCGCGCCCCTCCTGGGCCCGTAGCGCCCCTCCTGGGCCTCGTCGCCCCTCCTGGGCTTCGTAGCGCCCCTCCTGGGCCCTGTACCGCCCTCCCAGGCCCCGTCGCGCCCTCCCAGGCCCCGTCGCACCCCTCCCAGGCCCTCTAGCGCCCCTCCTGGGCCCCGTCGCGCTCCTCCCAGGGCCCTGTAGCGGCCCCGTCGCGCCCCTCCTGGGCCCCGTAGCGCCCTCCTGGGCCTCGTCGCGCCCCTCCTGGGCTTCGTAGCGCCCCTCCTGGGCCCTGTACGCCCTCCCAGGCCCCGTCGCGCCCCTCCCAGGCCCCGTCGCGCTCCCCCAGGCCCCTAGCGCCCCTCCTGGGCCCCGTCGCGCTCCTCCAGGCCCCGTAGCGCCCCTCCTGGGCCTGTCGCGCCCCTCCTGGGCTCCGTAGCGCCCCTCCTGGGCCCCGTCGCGCCCCTCCTGGGCCCCGTAGCGCCCCTCCTGGGCCCCGTCGCCCCTCCTGGGCCCTGTAGCGCCCCTCCTGGGCCCCGTCGCGCCCCCCAGGCCCCGTCGCGCCCCTCCCAGGCCCGTAGCGCCCCTCCTGGGCCTCGTCGCGCCCCTCCTGGGCTTCGTAGCGCCCTCTCCTGGCCCCCGTCGTGCCCCTCCTGGGCCCCGTAGCGCCCCTCCTGGGCCGCGTCTACCCGTCGCCGCCGCCCGGCCCCGTCGCGCCCGCCCGCCCCGTCGCCGCCGCCCGGCCCCGTCGCGCCCGCCCGGCCGTCGCAGCCGCCCGGCCCCGTCGCGCCCGCCCGGCCCCGTCGCACCCTGCCCGGCCCCGTCGCAGCCGCCCGGCCCCGTCGCACCAGCCCGGCCGCCGTCCCGCTCGCCCGGCCCCGTCGCACCGGCCCGGCCCTGCCGCACTCGCCCGGCCCCGTCGCCCCAGCCCGGCCCCGTCGCGCCGCTCGGCCCCGTCCCCGTCCCGGCCCTGTCGCACCAGCCCGGCCCGTCGCGCCCGCCCGGCCCCGTCGGGCCACCCCGGCCCCGTCCTCCTCACTGGTACGGTTCCCCCCCACCCCGCCCTGCTCCGTGCCGCCCCGCACCACACTGCCCTGCCTGGCACCGCACTACACCGCACTGCACCGCACTGCACCGCACTGCACCGCCTGCACCGCACTGCACCGCACTACCGCACTGTACCGCACTGTACCGCACTGCACCGCACTGTACCGCACTGCACCGCACCCCACCTAGCTGCACTGCCCTGCACCGCACTGGACTGTTCCTGATGGCGGCGGAGCTTCGCTTCGACGCTGAAGGTCAGCCCCTAGAGTTCGAGGCGTGGCTTGCCGACCTCCGCCGCCAACTCACTGGCCAGCGGCAGGATGGTGAACCGCTTTCCGCACACCTTGACGGTACGCTCCCCTGCCCAGACCCCCTGCTATTCTGCCCGCTGACCCCACACCCACTGAGCGTGAGTCTACTGCTGCCACTGCCCGTGCGCGCTCTGTCTGGCTTTCTCGCGATGCTGTCGCCCAGCTTGCCATTAGCAACGCCCTCCCCCGTCCGAGCGTCCTCGCTTTAGGTCCCTCACTACTGCTCAGGCATACTTAGATGCTGTCATCAAGCGCTATTCCACCCCTCCGGCTGCCTCGGTGGGTCGCCTGATCCTCCCGATGCTCTTTCCTGACCTTGCATCTTTCCCCACTGTCTCTGACCTCGCTGCCCACCTGCGCTCGATAGATGAGACCTGGCGCGCCTGCACTGACGCACAGCTTAGAGCCCACCAGCCGCCCATTACCTCTACCCTCTACCTGCTTGCCACCCGCCTCCCTGACCGCCTTGCTGTCGCCCGCGACCGCTTCCTTAGCGTTCACCCCGCAGACCTCACCCTCACTGACTTTGTAGACACCCTGACTGTGATAGAGACCCGTCACCGCTCCATCGCCCAGGCGAGCGGTGTCGTGCCGGTCCCTATCTTTCAGGGTTGTGCCCCCGCTCAGTGTACCTTCTCCGACGGCTCTGCCGCAGTGGCTGAGACTGCTGCTGCAGCGCAGGTCCGTTCGGGGAAGGGCCGCCGCCCCAAGGCTGGGCGCGGCGGAGGGCGGCGGGGGCGGCGGGGGGTAGTGGTGGGGTCGGGTCGCCTGGTGCTGGAGCGGACGAGGGGACCCTGCCCAGTCCAGCTGAGTCGCCGCCCCTGCAGTTGCAGCAGCCGCAGCAGCCGCCGCAGTCGCAGCCTTCGCAGCAGCCGCAGCAGCCGTCGCAGACGCGGCAGACGAGTGTCCTCCCGCCAGGGTGGCCCGGCGCTGGCGGTGGCCGGGCGCGTGGTGGTGTGCCGCGTGGTGGCTCTGGCGGCGGGCGTTGTCAGTACCAGATCCAGACCGGTCCTCGCCGCGGCTTCGTTTGCGGTAAGATCGGTCACTCCACTCCCCGCTGTTTTCGTCGCCTGGACGACCTCTTTCGTCAGCGGCTTCGGCCCGTCGCCAGACCTCCCGGACTGGCACAGTTTGCTTAGTCGTCAGATTCAGATCTTTGATATGGACATGGATGCCATTGTTTCCGCTCTGCATGTGATGTATGCTGATGAATCTAGTGTGCTTCCCGCTTACTACTCACTGTTGCCTAGTGTAGGTGTGCCTAGCTTAGCCTCCCCTGCTGCGTCAGGCGTAGGATCCCCTGCTTTGTGTAGTCTTGGTGCTTCCGCCGTCGTTCCGTCGCCAGACCCCTCGGCTTCGCTTTCCTTCACCTTGGACTCTGGCGCCTCTCGGTGTTTCTTCCGCGACTCCACCACCCTGACGCCGCTTCCTGTTCCTGCTGCCGTTTCTCTTGCTGACCCCTCCGGCGGTCCGGTAGTCGCCCGCAGTTCCACCACCCTTCCCTGTCCGGCAGTTCCTTCGGGTTCTCTTACAGGTCTGCATATCCCCTCGTCTCTAGGAACCTAGTGGTGTCGGCTGCCTCCAGGACCTTGGCGTCACCACTACGTTCTCTGGCCACGAGCGGTATGCTGTCTGTACCGAGGCCGCCACTGGTGCCCCCCTGTCCACGTTCCCCCGGGACCCGGTGTCCGGCCTGTTCACTTGGACACCGTGATCCCCCCGGCTGGAGCACCCCCTCAGGTGGCTGCGTCTACCCAGGTTGCTGCTGCCTGCTCCTGTCGCTCCCTCACTCACCCGACCCTCCTGTGGCACCACCACCTAGGTCACCCTGCGCTCCCGCGTGTGCGTCACATGTCCCAGCACGGTCTCGTCCTTGGTCTCCCAGGTTCGCTCCCCGCGTTTCCCTCCTCTCCAGCCCCACCTTGCACGCCTTGTGTCGAGGGTCGGCTTCGCCGTGACCCTCACTCCTCCTCGTTTCCCCCTACCGCCGCGCCGCTGCAGACCCTGCACCTGGACGTCTGGGGCCCCGCCCCCGTCCCTGGGCCGCGTCGAGAGCGCTACTTCCTTGTGCTTGTCGACGACTTCACTCGTTACACCACAGTCTTTCCGCTGGAGCGCAAGGCCGACATGCCTGGCGCTCTCATCCCCTGGCTTGTCTCTGCGCGTGTCCACCGCGGTCTCCCTGTCTTGCGTCTTTACTCAGACCGTGGTGGCGAGTTTGCCTCAGGTGTCCTTGGTCGCTTTTGTCGTGCGGAGGGCATCACTCAGACGTTCACCCTACCGGACTCCCCACAGCAGAATGGGGTCGCTGAGCGACGCATCGGTTTGGTCATGGAGGTGGCTCGCACCTCCATGATCCATGCCGGTGCACCCCATTTTCTGTGGCCGTTCGCTGTGCGCTACGCTTCTCACCAGCTTAACCTGTGGCCGCACCCCTAGCAGTCGCAGGTTTCGCCGACCCGTCTTTGGACTGGGTCTCCTGGTGACGCGTCTGCGTTCCACGTCTGGGGCTGCCTTGCTCACGTCCGTGCCTCTGCACGGACAAGCTCACTGCCCGCACCCTTCCCTGCGTCTTCCTCGGTTTTCCCCTTGACGCGTCCGACTGGCACTTTTACCACCCGCCGTCTCACCGCTTCTTTCACTCTCATGACGTCACCTTTGACGAGTCCGTCTCCTACTACCGCCGCTTCCCCCACCGTGGTCCCCCGGTTACCCCCCCCCTGTTCCTGGTCACCCCTTCCCCAGTAGTCCCTGCCCCTCCTCCTCCTCCTCCCCGTCCCGCCCCCTCTGGCGTGTCCCACGTCACCCCCCTTCCGTCCGTGGACCCGGTTGAGGAGTCTTCTGACTCTGGTGGCCCTCCTGTGCAGTCCTCGCCGGCCGCCCCTCCCCAGTGTCCCCTCCCCAGTCCCCTCCTCCACCGCCACTGCCGCTGCTGCAGCCGTCGTCGTCGCCGCCGCCGCCGCCGCCGTCGCCTCCGCCGCCGCCGCCGCCGCCGTCGCAGCCCCCGTTCGCTGACTCTGGGGGTGCTCGTCCCGGTCGCCCTGGGGGTGGTCCCTCTGGGGGTGCTGGTGTGGAGAGTGCCGGTGGTAGCCGAGGAGCAGCTTGCGGTCCAGGTGTCGCCGTTGTGCCGCCGCAGCAGCAGCCCCGCCGGTGTCCGCCCTTCGCCTGCTCGGCCTTCCGTCTCCCGACCCTGCGTCGGTTCCTCCCCGACCGTCTCCTCCTCTTCCTGTCTACGGCTCTGTTTTTCCTCCGCCGGACTCGTCCCCGGCCCGTCTCCCCCCTCGTTCCCCTCCTGTGTCCCCTCCCCTGTCTCCTGACTCGACCCCTCTGTCCCACGTCTGGTCTCACCGTCCTTCCCGTGCTCGTCCTGCCTCACCTGTCCTACGCTCCCACCCTATGTTGCTTCGTTCCCACGCGTCTCGTCCTCCC